GGGGGGGTTTGATTCGTGATACACTCGGGCGTTGGCTTGGGGCGTTCGTAATGAATATCGGGTATTGTTCCATCACGGGAGCAGAGCTGTGGGACCTTTCCAAGGTCTACTACTTGCATGAGATTTGGGGTTATCGAAAACTCCTCGTTGAAGTAGACAATCAAAGCGTGGTGTTAATGGCGAATGGGGGCTTAACGGAGAACCTTGGAGTTCATGGAAGCTTGGTCCCACCCATTCGAGAATTGCTTAACCGGGCATGGGAGACTAGAGTGATTCATTGCTATAGAGAGACGAACTTTGTGGCCGATTGTTTGGTGTCCTTAGAGCATCAATGGCCGAGTGGTTGTCAATGTTTATTAGACCCGTCTTTGATGGTTAAACTGTGGTTACAACATGATCTCATTGGGGTTGCTTACTCGCATAATATAAATGTCGAAGGATCCTAAGCTTTTGCCTCCTTTCTTTATACCAAAAAAAAAAATTTTAATCATTTTATTTTAAATATTATTTTAATATACTCACTAACAACTAATCATACCATCTTTTTCAAAAATAATCAGACCAAACAAAAAAATCCAAACAAACCCAGATATTTTTATATCCAAACATCTTTATTTTGCCTTGTTTTTTTGTGTGTTTGTTCTAGTAGTTGATCCTTAAATCTGGCATCCCACTAAATTCGGCCTTATTCAATTTTTGGGTTGTTTTTTAGTTCTACTTATTTCATTTTATTTTCTTTAAAACTTTTATCCTTTCCAAAAAAAATAAATAAATAAATAACCGAGTCCAACATCTATCAAAATCATGTGACGTGCATCTTCCCTTGAAATTTCCTAGTATCAAGTTGTCACTTCATTGAGACCTATATAATAGCACCTTGGGCACTTCACAAAATCATCATTAAGGAATCAAGCTGCAAATAATTAATACTTCCTTTAGCTTTCTTCCCCGGAAAAATGGCTGCAACCGACATGTATGCTCCGCCTTCAAGCTGGCCAAACGGCCGCCCGCCTGTCGGGTTTTGCACCAAAAGCACGTGGGGTGATACTTTTGCCTCCTCCGCTCTTGACCATCAGGTAAGTGCCTTACGTCTAAAACGGGAGATGTTACAGTGTCGTTACTGAACCATTTCATTCGAACTTGTAACCGTTAGATCAACTATCCCCGACGGTCACATGATGATCTAACGGTTACAAATCCTGACGGAGTGGTTCCGTAATGCGACCGTAGCATTTCCCGTCTTTATTTTAGTGTAAAAACATTGGCATGAATTGTACTGGGAGGTAAAACAAATAAGACACTAGATGTATATGTGCAGACACAAGATGATTATGAGAAAGCCATAGGAGAACTCAAAGAAGAAGCAAGAAGCATGCTAATAGAGGCTAAAGGGAAAACAATCAGCGAGAGGTTAGCACTAATCGACACGCTCGAGCGTTTGGGAGTCGGATATCACTTTGAGCAAGAGATTGAGGAGCAACTTGAAGATATCTTGAACAATTTTGATTCAAAGAATGAAGACTACGACTTGTGCACCACTGCACGGTTCTTCCGTATTATGAGGCAACATCGTCGTTATGTCTCTTGCGGTAAGTCGACTATAGTTAGTTACTAACTTGTGTGTATTTAAGAGTATAACGGAAGACAAAAATTCAAATTTGGTACGTTTACTTGTCTAAAGTCCTTTTTTTTGTACGCCAACTTTCCCTTCATCATTAATAATACGTTATGTTGCAATTTGTATCACTATTGAGACGTTTTAACCCGAAAATTGTTCATTATTTTCTGGGATTAATGTAATACAAATTGCAACATAACATACTGTTTTTTATGAGTAATAATTGCAACATAACTTACTATGGAGAAAGTTACTAGTGTACCGAAAAAGGATTTTAGACAAGTAAAAGGACAAAATTGAAATTTTTAACATTCATGGCTTATGGCCCTAGCATTTGTTATTAATAATGATAATGTATTAAAACAGATGTTTTTGACAAGTTTGTTGAAAAAGACAACAAATTCAAAGAAAGCCTTGTCATTGATGGTAAGGGACTGCTAAGCTTATATGAAGCTACCCACTTGAGAATCCGTGGAGAAGAAATCTTGGATGAGGCTGTGTCCTTCGCAGTCCGTCATCTTAAGCACATGGTACAATCATTAGAGCCTTCACTGCAAGCCCAAGTGAAGACGGCTCTGGAGCGGCCGCTTCAGAGGGGCATTCCGAGAATGGAAGCTCGTCATTACATATCCTCTTACGAGAAAGACGACTCGAGGATTGAACAACTTCTGAAACTAGCCAAATTGGACTTCAATTACGTGCAAAATATCTACAAGGACGAGCTCTATCAACTCACAAAGTACGTGTCGTTCATCATTAGAATCCAATTATCTTTCGTCTCGTCCAATATTAATTTTACAAAATATTTGTTTAAATTAGGTGGTGGGACGAGATGAACCCACATATGCCGTACGCGAGAAACAGACTGGTCGAGGCGCATTTATGGTCGGTTTCTTCAAATTTCGAACCTCAATATTCTTTGGCTCGAGTTGTAGGCACTAAGTTCATTCAAATGCTTACGGTTTTGGACGACACTTATGACAACTATGCGACCGTTGAAGAAGGTGAAATTTTCGCGGAGGTTGTCGAAAGGTGTGCATGCCATTACTATAAATATATAAATTAGATGACGCCACAGTTAAGACAATCAACTCTTAACCGGTAATTATAATGTACATTGATGTGCATACTTGTCATGTGATGTGGCATAATTTTATTGGTTGCGAATGAACGGAACGATACCGTGAAAAATAGAAACGGCACCTTAGTATTTTCCTATATATATAGTTAATTTTGACGCTATTTTGTCAGGTGGGACATTGATGAGATTGATCGGCTTCCGGATTACATGAAGCCCCTCTATAGGTTTATATTGAAATTGTTTGATCAATACGAAACCGACGCAGCCGAACAGGGGAAACAGCCATTTGCTCTGTCTTATGCCAAACAAACTGTAAGGGGTGGAATGAAATTGGCCACTTTTGCTAGCTACTGAATAATAAATATGAAAAGAATATTCTTCTCAGATTTATTTGTGATCAAATCCATGATGAATAAGTATGTGTAATTTTAAAATTCCAAACTGAAAATCAAAGGCATTGCTGATGATTGTTATGTACATTCAGGTGGAAGAGATATGTAGGTCTTACACGCAAGGACTCAAGTACACTATGGGAGGGCCGATGAATTCGTTTGAGGACTTTGTTGTGAACTCGGTGGTGGCGAGTATCGTGTACGTTTCATGCGCTGCTGCTGTCCCGGGCTTGAAACTGGTGTCCAAGGAGACCATAGAGTGGCTCAGGAGCGAGCCCAAAATCATTCGCGCTGCGGCTATGGTCTGTCGATACTTGGACGACTTGGGCAGCCAAGAGGTAATTAGTTTATCCATTAATTTAAAACCACCAAATGTTAATGAATTGCCTAAAACTTAAAAACAGTCTGAAATTAACAAGTTAATTTTTTGCTGGAAGCGTGAGAGTCAGCAAGGCACACTCTTGACGGGGTTGGATTTTTACGTAAGACATCATGGCGGGTCGATACAAGAGGCTCGGGACAAGTTTGTGGAGCTAGCTGAGGATGAATGGAAGGACTTGAATGCCGAGTGGATAAGGGATGTTAAGAGTGAGGTTCCGAGAGAAATGGTGGAGGTGATTCTTGGCTATGCTCGGGCGTCCGATGTCTTCTACAGGCACAGTAGGGATGGATATGCAAAATCTCATAAAATGACGCCCGAAGTTGATGCTCTCTTCGTTGAACCCATTGCCTTCTGACACAACTTTGCACGCGCGCTCATCACAAAGGCTTGTAATGTTATTTTCATTGTTCAATAAAAGAGCGCTATTTGTTGTCTTGCTTGTGTGTTGCTTGTGTTTAGTTTTTTTTTTTTTTTTT